AAGTTGCGTTTCTCATATTCAAAATATTGCACTTCCGGCCCGGCCAGCATGGCTCAGTGGTTGAGCATCAACCTATCAACCAGAATGTCCTGTTCGATTCCTGGTGAAGGGCACATGTCAAGGTTGCGGACTCAATCGCCGGTAGGGGGCATGTAGGAGGCGGCCGATCCGTGATTCATCATCATCATGAATGTTTCTCTCCCTCTCTCTTTCCCTTCCTCTCTAAGTCAAAAAAATAATTTAAAAAATATTAAGCAAGTGTTTTCAGATTAAGCACATTGTTTGAAAATAGTTTATTATTTCTTTTGGTTTAACATACCAGGTGGGTAGTCATTTAAAGACTACCGAGCACCTGAGCTGGTTTGGCTCTGTGGATAGAGCATCGGCCTTTTTTTTTCAAATATATTTTCATTGATTTCAGAGAGGAAGAGAGAGGGAGAGAGTTAGAAACATCCATGATGAGGGAATCATGGATAGGCTGCCTCCTTCAAGTTCCACAAAGCCAGGCTCACAGCTGCCATGCACGGGGGAGCTGGGGGGAGCCTCTATGGAAGCACTATAGCTGACCTAAGTTGGCAGTTGGAAATCCCTCAAGGGGACCCGGACTGGGAGAGGCTGCAGGCTTGGCTGAGGTACCCCCCTGATTGCATAAATTTTGTGCACTGATCCTCTTGTAATATTATAATGACTGTGTATGGTTTCAGATGGGGATGAGATTAATTGCATGATTTCTTAGTCCATTATATAATGTCTAATCATTGGGGTGTACCCCTGAAATGAACCTAAGGTTCTATGTTAACTGTCATTTCAAAAATGGTTTTAAAATTCTATTCGACAATGTTACCTTCATAGAGTCATGTTTTCCAATAAGTACGTTTTATACAGTTTGTTCAAGGAGCAAGATCTTAAGCTAAAAAGAAAGAAAAGTTGAGATTTATAAATTTGCAAAATAAACAAAAGGCAACCACAAACACAACCTTAAAATCCATAAAGATAAAAGCCGAGGTCAAATGCGTTTGGAGACCCCATTCCCTGTCTATCGATGCCAGGACCGAAGTAGCGAGAGGCACTGAGAAGCTGTGACTGTTGCTCCTTGGACCACGGAGGGGTCATGGCCGAGCTCCCATTGAACGTGCCCCTCACCTTGCACCCCGTCTGCCTGAGTATCCGTGGGCCCTCGGTGTACGAGGACGAGAACCAGCACACGTGGCTCCATCTCGTCATGGACACAGGAGGTGACCTTCAAGTACGGTTGTGCCAGACAGACATACCCAGTGGGTATATCGCACTCACCACCAGCCCGATGACCTCGAGGACCATGCCTTCGTGGTGGATGCTCCACCCTGGCAGCCAGTACCTGGACTCCTTGGGCTGGTTCTGGCGCATCGTGCACCACGTCAAGGAGGATGACAAGGAGGAAATGATCCTTGAGCTGATGGACGACTCTTAGGACATGTGATGGGGTTCCTGGCTCTTGTCAACCTGAGCCCCAGTCCTGCTGGCCTGCCAGTGGGACGTGTATAGTTCTGTTCACCTTTTTACTAAGCTCTGTGGTTCTATCTGCCACTCCCTGGTTGCGAGGGCACATTGATGTCTCTCTCTGTCTCTCTCTCTGTCTCTCTCTCTCTCTCTTTCTTCTTCTTCTTCTTCTTCTTCTTCTTCTTCTTCTTCTTCTTCTTCTTCTTCTTCTTCTTCTTCTTCTTCTTCTTCTTCTTCTTCTTCTTCTTCTTCTTCTTCTTCTTCTTCTTCTTCTTCTTCTTCTTCTTCTTCTTCTTCTTCTTCTTCTTCTTCTTCTTCTTCTTCTTCTTCTTCTTCTTCTTCTTCTTCTTCTTCTTCTTCTTCTTCTTCTTCTTCTTCTTCTTCTTCTTCTTCTTCCTCTTCTCCTTTCTCTCTCTCTCTGTCTCTTTGTCTCTCTGTCTCTCTCCCTCTCTCGCAAATCAATAAAAGCATTTTGAGCCAAGCTGGTGTTTCTCAGTGGTTGAGGGACGACCTATGAACCCAGAGGTCACAGTTCGATTCCAGGTTAGGGCACAGACAAGAATTAACCAATGAGCCTTAGCTTTTTTGGCTCAGTGGATAGAGGGTTGGACTGTGGACTCTGGAAGGTCCCAGGTTCGATACTGGTCAAGGGTATATGCTCTGGTTGGGGTCTTGATCCCCAGTAGGGGGCGTGCTGGAGGCACCCGATGTATGATTCTCCCCCATCATTGATGTTTCTCTCTCCCTTCCTGTATGAAATCAATCCTATATAATAAAAGTCTAATATGCTAAGTGTCCAGTCAACCGGTCATCTGTTCAACCAATCAAAGCATAATATGCAAAGGATATACTAAGATTCCTCAACTGCTCGCTATGATATGCATTGACCACCAGGGACAAGACTTTCAGACTGGGAGGTCAGCTTGCTGCTCAGATCTGGCTGATCGGGACTGAATGAGACAGGCTGGACACACCCTGTAGCCCTCCCATGGTTCCTCCCCAGCTGTCCCAACATCCCTGTCCCTCCCCAGACCTAATGGGGCACAGGAGGGGTGCCTTGGCCAGGCCTGTGCCTTCTTGTAATCTGGGACCCCTCGGGGGCTGTCAATTAGCCAGGTTCGGCCGATCCTCTCAGGCCAGACCTAGGCATCTCACTTGTGCACGAATTCCCCCAAACATTCGTTGTTTTTTTGGAGAGGGTAGTATCGGTGGACGAACCTCAGGAGATCAATCAATGAGAACGCTGGTCATTGAAATAAAAACTATTTCCAGTGATGTCTTCGAGCCTTGTTTACCAGGGCTGGGCTTATATTTTCAGGCTTATGGTCTTTTTCTTTTTGTTGCTGTGTTTAACATATTTTTACTAGAGGCCCAGGTTTCGGGCTCGATCGCCAGTAGGGGGCGTGTGGGTGGCGGCCGATCCGTGATTCTCCTTTATGCAAACATGGATTTCCGAAATTGATTTCTGTGGCTCCCTCTGGCTTCCCTTCCAGCCTCCTCTCCCTGGTGTGATGGTAGATGAATTTTATGATCGCTGGCCTTGTTTGGGGCTGTTTAGTGCTAAACACAATAAAAACCCAAATGCACACAGAGGAAGAAGCTACAGCCGTGCTTCACTCTCATCATGGATGTTTCTCTCCCTCTCGATTTTCCTTCCTCTCTGAGTCAATAAAATCATTTTAAAAAAATATGAGCAATTGTTGCATTCAGATGGCATGCACATTGTTTATAAATAGTTTATTATTTTTTTGGTTTAACATACCAGGGGGGTAGTCATTTAAAGACAACCTAGCACCCGAGCTGGTTTGGCTCAGTGGATAGAGCGTCGGCCTGTGGACTGAAGGGTCCCGGGTTTGATTCCAGTCAAGGGCACATGCCCGG